TAATCATAGCACTTGGGAGGCAGAGGCAGGCAGATTTCTATTTGAGGCCAGCCTGGTCTACATAGTGAGTTCCAGGCCAGCTGGGGGGCTACAGGGAGACACTGTCTCAAAAAAAAAAATGATAATAATAATAATATTAACAGTAATACTAAACAATAACAATAGTAATAAAAATAAATTAAATATCTATCTATTGGGGCTGGACAGATGGCTCTGTGGTTAAGAATACTGGTTGTTCTTTCAGAAGACCTGGGTTCGAATCCCAACACCCACATGGCAGCTAACAAGTGTCTGTAACTCCAGTTCCAGGGGATCCGACAGCCTCTTCTGTCTTCCATGGGCATTGCATAACATGGGTGCACTTACCTACATGCAGGCAATACACGCATACACATAAAATAATAAAATAGTTTTAAAAAATCTATCATCTATCTATCTATCTATCTATCTATCTATCTATCTATCTATCTATCATCATTATCTAATCTAATGTTGGGGATAGAGAAATGGCTCAGAAGTTAAGAGCACTTGCTGTTCTTCCAGAACTGAATTTGGTTCCTAGCATCCAGTCAGTACGCTCAAAACTACAACCACCTATAACTCCTATAACTCCTGCTCCAGGGGAACCAACATTTTCTGACCTTCACAGGCACCCACACACATTTTTTTTTTTTTTTTTTGAGATAGGATCTTACTATGTAGTCTATGCTGGCCTGGAACTCTCTATATAGATCAGGGTGGTCACACACTCACAGATGTCCATTTGCCTCTGCTTCCCGAGTGCTGGGATTAAAGGTGTGCAACCACCATGACCAGCAATGAACAAAGCTTTTTTTTTTTAAGCCACTCTGAAAAAAATGGAGACTTAAAAAAAATTTTTTTTTGCCTGTATGCACACAAATGCCTTGAGTGTATAAAATGCCCATGGAGTCCAGAGAGGGCATTGGAGCACCTGGAACTTGAGTTATTGTTGGATGTTAGTTGCCATATGGGTCCTGAATCCAGGTCCTCTGCAAGAGCAGCTAGTGCTGTTCCCACTGAGCCATCTCTCTAGCACCTCACCCTTTCAAAGAATAACAGTCTTGCTGTGTAGCCCGACTGGCCTTGAACTCCCTAGCCTTGTGCCTAACCCTCCCAAGGTGCTAGGATTACTGATGTGCAGCACTGTGACTGGTTTAGGGTAGCTGTTTTTGTCTTTTTGAGACAGGGTCTCCCTATAGCCCCAGTTGTCCTGGAACTCACTATGTAGACCAGGCTGGCCTCAAACTCACAAAGATCTGCCTGCCTCTACCTCCCAAGTGCTGGGATTAAAGGCATGTGCCACTACGCCTGGCTAGAGTAGCTTTTTTAAAAAAATTAAATATATGCTTACCATGTGACCCTGAAATTGTACCCTTGAGCTTTTTTTATCCTGAAGAAATGAAAAGTTACTTGGAGGGCTGAGGTGGAGAGCCTTGAGAAGGACACTAGCCTGGGCTATATAATGAGATCCAGCCTCCAAGCAAAAAAAAAAAAAAAAAAAAATGGGGTGGGGGGATGAAAATTTTATGCCCACACAACATGTAGGTGAAACATTCATAGCAGTATGGCTGTATTTGAAAGAGACACCCAAAACCACCTTCAGCGGGTGAATGGTTAAAATGGCACACCCTGACCATGGAATGCTCACCTCAGAAGCAAAGAGGAATGGATTCCTGGTTCAGGCAACAACCTGGGTGAATTTCAAGGTAGCTATGAGTGAAAAATGCCTGGTCTCAATAGGTTAAGAAATGTGGGACTGGAGAGATGGCTCAGTGGTAAAAAGCATTGGCTGCTCTTGCAGAGGACCTGGGTTCTGTTCCCAGAACCCACATGGCAGCTAACGCTCGTCCTTAACTCCAGTTCTAGGAGATCTGACACCCTGTCTAACTTCCTCAGGCATTGCACGACATTGGGTGCACCTACATACATACAGGCAAAACACTCATATACATAAAATAAAAAGAAATAAAAAATACTTTTAAAAGGTTGCAAAATGTGATTCCATTTCTGGAAGTTTTAAACAGAAATCTGGAGATATAGCACCAATGGGTAGTGGTGGTTGGGGAAATAGGTAAGTGGGGGTGAGGGAGAGGAGAAAATGGTCATGGCTGAAAAGGGGTGGCACAGGGGTGTCTGTTAGGGTGGAGTACTTGTGGGTTTCATTGTGCCAACCACACTAATCTACTCATGATAGAATTGCACAGAACATGCAAATGAGTGTGTGTATAGATGGGGAACGCTAATCGAGTTCTACAGACTGTCACTTTCCTGGAGCTGACTTTGTACCATAGCTTAGCAAGGCATTACTAACAGAAAAAACAAAACAAACCCCACTGAAGGCTACAGAGGATCTCTCTCTACTGTATTTGTGATTTGTGAGCTTCCAAAATGAAAAGTTTTTAAAATTAATGGCAGGAAGTATAAGCTGAAAAATTTGATTCATGTTTCTCCATTCCCTGATCACCACCCCATCTGTCTTTTTAATTAAAGCAGTTCTTGTTATGCAGCACAGACAGCCTCAAACTCATGATGCTCCTACCTTAGCCTCCAGGGTGCCAACACCATTCCCCCCATTTTGGTAAGTTTCTAATACACTTTCCAGTTTTTCTTTCTTTCTTTCTTTGTGTGTGTGTGTGTGTGTGTGTGTGTGTGTGTGTGTGTGTGTGTGTGTGTGTACATAGTATATGTATGCACACATGTGTGCATGGTTCTTTTGGGTGGTGCACATGTGCATGTGTGTGTGTGAGGGTCAGAGGGCAACCTCAGGTGTCATTCCACCTTTTGTATGAGACAGGGTCGCACACTAGCCTGGTACTTCACCAAAAAGGCCAGACTAGCTGGTGAGTGAGCTCCTATCTCTGCCTCTCCTCTCACCCATGCTGGGATTACAGGCATGCACCATTGCACCTGGCTTTTGTCATAGGTTCTGGGGAACCCTAACTCAGGTCCTCATGCTTATGAGGCAAGTGCTTTACTAATTGAACCATTTCCCCAGATCACTTTCCAGTCTTTCTCCAAATAAAAGCACATTCAAATCTGCCTGTATCCCCCTTCTCTGCTTTTGCTCAGAAAAGTAAATGCAGCATATGTACCATTCCGCATCTCCTTCTTATTTACTCTAAGCTAGAGATGTTTCTCCATCAGTCTGCACAGAGTGGCCACATCTTTTGTTACATGACTTCCAGCTCTGTTGAATGGATGGACCAGACTGTTCAACCGGGTTTCTACAGATAGCTACTTGAGCTGTTTATCTATAGGGAGTTTCTTAGAAGTTTGAATAACCTAGAGATTTCACAAAGTAGGGAGAGCCAACAGGTGGGCAGAGACTGAAGGCCTCCTTGTCTAACATCAGCTGTCATTCAGTACCCACAGAAGCCCCAGGCTGTACTTCTGGGAGTCCTCTTGTTATTCCCTCTGGATGCAGAGATGAGAGGCAAAGAGAAATAGAGATGAATTCAGAATGGGATCTCCAGACTTCAGTGTCTGCTCTTTACTAGCCTGTGGTCTTGTTCAGCTCATGAAGTCTTTCTAAGTCTCAGACACTTTATCTGATAAATATAAACCTGCCAGTACGTCCCCATAGGGCTTTGGGAAAACTCAAATAGAAGCAAGAACAGTCAGTCCCACCTAGCTGCAGGTTCTACACTGCAGATTCAACAGACTCAAGAATTGAAAACATTGAGAAAAATCTGATTGAACTGAACAAGTTCAGACTTTTTCTTGGTAGTATTTCACTAAACAATATAATAACTGTGCATAGTGTTTATATATGCTAAACACTTGCATAGTGTTTATATATACCAAAAATAATAAATAATCCAGAGATGATTTAAAGTATACAAGAGGATGTGTATGTTATATGCAGAAGCCATGTCATTTTATATGGAAGAGGGGAGTGCGCTCAGATTTCGGTATCCTCAGGGGATCCTGGGACCAAGCCCTTGTGGATACCAATGGATGACTATGGTCCTTTGAAAAATCATAAATCACTTTCTGAATGGGTGGTGAGACTTCTCAATACTGTTTCTAAAATGGAAGGGGAGTAGTTGGAAACCCAGAAGAAATGGGAGTGAATTTATGAAAAAGCCCTATTTCCGAGAAATCAGGGCAACTATTGGTTACACTGGTGGGCGCCATGATGTTTATAATGGAGGTGGTTAAAGGACCGGTATCTCTAATGTTCTTACACATAGCTGCACAGTCTGAGACCTCCTCTCCTAAGACCCCACATGAATTCATGAGGAGCCAGAGCCAGGGGGCACAGCAGTGTGGGGATCTGAGCATTGAGAAGCTGCATCAGCCTCGAACTGCCCAGGCTTCACCCTGGCTCTGTAAGTGCCTGCCATTCTCTCCACAGCAGAGATGAATCAGCCCAAATGTCATTGGTGGGGGTCAGCTGTCTCCACCACACATTTCCCCCATTCTGATTTTCTTTCCACATACATGTGAATTATCTCATCTACAAAAGGAAACAGAAACACTGTCATGCTACAAGAGACAGGAAACCTGACCCCTTTCCCTCTGGTGCACACAACACACATCTGCTAGGCTGAAGTGGAAGAAATCTAGACCTCCATGTCTTCTGCAGGGCCAATGATATAGAATCTGTTGAAGGAATATGACTTGATTATTAGCCTAGGCACCAGCCAGCCTGACCTGGCTTAGCTATGCATATCAAATAGTCTTAAGCATCTCTAAGCATGCTGCTAATGCGGAAAGATAGACACCAGAGAAAAAGAAAAAAGGAAAGGGGTGACTGCTGTATTTATTTCCATGTTGGGATGGGTCAAGTCTTCCAAAAGATGGCACAGGTCTCCATGGAAACAGAGACTCAGAAGCCCACTGGAGATCTTTGTTGTAAAGATCTCGCCCTTGTTGGGCAAGGCAGTTTTTGTGGCTGACCATTCGCTTAATTATATATCTACCTCTGCCTTTGCACTATATATGTGCTCCTGAAAAAAATATCAGAGGAGAGCAAGTCAATTTTATTTTTTATTTTTCTAAAATAAAATGAATGCGTGTGCAGTCAAGATAACCATAAAGTGAAAAATCAAAAAGCCCCCTTGCATGAGCAAAACTGTCAATACACATCTTGTTCAAGAAAATTCCAGCAGATGTATACACTTATTTTTCTAAACTGAAAGTCTTCTAAATCAATAAATTGCATTTAAGAGAAAAATATGAACATAAAGAAAACCATCTTCTCCAAGTTAAAATTTTTCTTTGGAATGTTTTGATTCCAAAGTAAAGAACATATTTACTTGTACCAAGGATATATTGTAACGGTCCCAATTCATAATTCAATGTGCAGTCAGAGCCCATGATGTTGTCCGGCCAAAAGTAACATTCTTCTTTTGGGGAAAGATTTCCATTCTTTTCTTCTGTGTGGATCCTGAATTCCAGATGTAGGGCTGGGTTCTTCATACAATGGCACATTTACAAGAGGTACAAAACACTTATTGAGCGCTCGGGGTCACTGAGGGGCCTGCAGAATGGTCTCTTTGAAGCTCAGTTGAGTTTAATCTGATTCCTCTTTCCTCAGCCCACGCCTACCTCCAACTTAAGTTTTTCAGAACTGTGTCCCAGAATCCATAGAATTAAAGGAGTGGAATATCCCAGGGCGCAATGTAGAGAGATGCCTGGGTACTGACCGAAGATGGTTGAGTTTAGAATAGCCAGGTCAGGCTGGAATGTCTCACATTGTTGTAGCTTTTTACGACTGGACATAAACATATTGAAGATATGCTTCTTCCAATGCAACTGTCATCATCCTTAATCAGGAAGTGTACTTTACCTTCCCCTGCCTCTACTGGTTCTTCATTGTTGTTTATCTGTTTATTTGCTGACAGGGGGGTCTTGCTATGTAGCCTGGGCTAGCCTTAAATTCAAGATCCTCCTGCCTCAGCCCTTCAAGTGCTGGAATCATGCCTGATTCCAGAGTTTTGATTTTTTTAAAATATAATTTTAGTTCTTTCCACATCAACAGATGATACTAGAAACCAAAGCTGACTGCCTCAGAGAACACTGTTCCATGTAACCAGGAGCTAAGCCCAGCAAACCTACACTGGCTTGGTACTTTGGAAGCGTTGGCAAATTCCATAGCCAAGAATTCTTATAAAAGACTGTGGTTCAGAGTAACTTCCACCACTTGCATTTGGCAGAACATTTTAGAAAGTCTAAAACTCAAGCATTTCTGTGGGCTTCCCCTTCAGCCTCCTGACTTTTCGATAACCCCTGAAGGCCAGGACAGCTCCCACCGCAAAGACCCCAATGCCCAGGACTGCAAAGACAGCAGCTCCTATGTCTCCCCCGTGGAGACTGCAGCTGAAACCACTGTACCCTTTGCTCTGGTACAGTGCCTGCCTCTCCTTACACACAGTGGAGCTATAGGCAGCTGAGAGGTGTTGAAAGAAGAAATACAAGGCTGGGATGTATGCGCCTGCGGTGATTATGTCCATCAGGCCCTCGATCACCAGCCACAGGGGGCAGTGCCATGGTAGCCGGAGCACACCCCCAATGATGAGAAGGCAGGAGAAGGCCATGAGGGCTCCACTGTAGGCCATGGCTGCAGTGACCATGGGCAGCTTAAGCTGGTAGAACTGGATGTCCAGCTGCTGGGCTTTCTCCCCATCGGCACCGTCAAAGCCACTGTAAGCCCCTCCGTACTGGTAGTAGTAAATGCCCCCCAGGCTGGTGATGCCTGTGTAGCCCCCTGTGGAATTGTAAGAGACAGAGCTGCAGGCCAGGATCAGCAAGTTTAGCAGAACCTCCAACATCTGGCAGCAGGCTGCAAGAAAAGGGTGTTACCGTTTCGAGATGCTGTTGCACACTGGGAGACTCTTCCACCTCAAGGCTCATCTTCCCCAGGAAAGCTCAGACCACTGGCTCTTTATTCTGCCCACTGTGGCCAGCCCAGGCTACTCAATGAGCTTTAGCGGGGAACAAGGACCTGTGGTCTCCAGAAATCATTCAGACTGCAAAGAGTAACTCTCAAAAAAGCCAAGCATGGACAACTCAGTCACTAAAGTGCTTGCCTGGTAAGCATGGGAACGTGAGTTTGATCCCTAGTGTCCACATAAAATGCCTAGCATGGTGGCACATGATTGTACTCTCAGCTTCGGGGGAGGTGGAGACAGGTGGACCCCTGGGGCTTGCAGGATGGCCAGTATAGCCTTTTAGGTGAGTTGTAGGAGGCGCTCAAAAAAAAGGTGAGGATGACACCCAAGGTTCTCCTACACACACACACACACACACAAACACACAGCCAAGCAGCCTGCCCAAGACAAGTCAGAAAGAGAGAACCCAGGTCAGTTAGAAAGGCATCCTAGAAGGGTGGGAACATTCTACACCTACCCCCAAACCTTCACCACCCTAAAGACTGAGAAAGATGGTCCCCTCTTTTTCTCTGTTTAATAGCTCCTTGAATGTGTAAGACATTTCTCCAAGCTGGAAAAAAAAATCATAGAACTTAAAAGAGAAGGTGAAGGTTTTATAAAGCATGGATGCTATTCATTAAAATGTTGACTATAGGTTTAACGGCATAGTTCAGTGGTAGGGTATGTGTTTAGTATGCATGAGGCTCTGGGTTCAATTCTAGCACCAAAACCAAAATAATCAAGAAAATAACAGTACAAACAAAATGATTGTCCTTTGAATGTATTAGGGACAGGAAAGATTGAGTTAATTAAACACATAATATTCACTTAATGAAAGAAACATACTTTTACTATTCTTAGATTTTCATTCAATTAGTTTAGGCTAAAGTCTAACTTTTTTTGTTTGTTTAATTTTCCTAAAGGTTTATCTGGATTAATGTTTTGGTTGTTAGCCTTAGCTGCACTATCCCTCCAGCCCAAGAGTTTATCTAGATTAAAATACTTTCTCAGAATCAGGAGTGGTGGCTCATGCCTGTTACCTCAGCACTCAGGAAGCTGAGGCAGGAGGATCACCATGAATTCCAGGCCAGCCTGGGCTACAGATACTGTTTCAAAAAAAAAAAAAAAAACCCAAAAACAAAGGGGTTGAGAGATGGCTCAGTGGTTAAGAGCACTGACTGCTCTTGCAGAGGATCTGGCCAGGTTCAGTTCCCAGCACCCACATGGCAGCTGACAACCACCTATAACCCCAGTTCCAGAGGATCCTATGCCCTCTTCTGGCCTCAGTGGGCATTTCATGCATATGGTATACTTATATACATACAAGCAAAACACTCATATACATAAAATAAAAATACGAAATATTTTTTAAAAAACAAACTAAAAAAAAATTCTTAGAGCTAGATTCTTTCCTAGTTCCTGGTTTTCTTATCCTGGACAAGGAAAACTGTGTGTTTCCCTTAAAATCAACTTTAGTGAAATATAATTTATATATAATAAAAGAGTCCACATTCAGCATATGACTTGTTGAGCTTGGACAAATATACATAGCATGTAACGTAATCAAGTTTTCAGCTTCTTCCTAGTCAACCACTAAGCTGCTTCCTCTCAGTAGAAGTTAGTGTGGAATTTTCTAGATGACATGGAAATGGAATCAGACAGTGATATATTGTTTTGAGTGTGGCTTCCGAACTGGGTACTGTACCTGATACCAGGGCTGCTGGGGCAAATGATTTGACAGTCTGCCTGTTCAACATGTCCCTGGCTACTGGGTGACCAGACCTTATGTCTATTTCCTGCTGGTCTGTTTCCTGTGTCACAGCTCTACACTGTCTAGCAGGAACAATGTTCTTCCAAGCACATCTTTACACTCTGTCCTGTCTGCAAATGCAAATGGTACCATTGCTTTCTCTTTTCTTATCTGTTCTCTCCACCCCCATCTCTCCCATCCCCTCTTTCCTTTATTTTTGAGGCATTCTATGTAGTCCAGGTTGTCCTCAAACTCACAATTCTGCCTTGGCCTCTCGAAGACTGCTGAGATTGCAGGTGTGAGCCGCCATGCCCAGCTGGATTGTTTTCTTTAATTATAACATGTATACTTATGTATGACATAAGAAAGGAATATAGAGAAAAAGAAACACTACATATAAATCTACCATATAACTTTAAATATTTATTTTAATTTTTATCACTTATGTGTGTCTGTGTCTGTGTGAGTGTGTACATGTATGTGTGTGTGTGTGTGTGTGTGTGTGTGTGTACACTTGAGAAGTCCAGAAGAGGGTGTTGGATCCCTTGGAGCTAGGGTTATGGGTGTTTGTAAGCTGCCCCACATGGCTGTTAAGATCCAAACTCTGGTCCTCTTCACCTTTGAACTATCTCTCCAGCCCTACTTCACAACTAAAGGATATATGGATCATTATAATTAGTTTAAAAAATTTTTGAAGCAGGGTTTCACCACGTAGCACAGGCTAGCCTAGAACTCTTGATTCTCTGCCTCAGCTTCCCAAGTGTGAGGCTTGTAGGTGTGTGCCACCATTTTACACATTGCAATTGCATTCCAGTGGGACAGAGGCATTTAGGCTTTTCCTAAGTATCACTATGTATGACAGCATTTTTGTGGTATGGGGTCACACATATTAGAAAACTGCTGTACCACTGAGCTATACCTCCAGCCAGGGAGACGTTCTTATTTTTCGTTTTTTGAGACAAGGTCTCCTTCTAGTCCCAGCTGGTCTGGAACTTGCTATGTAGACAAGGCTGGACTTGATCTCATAGAGATCTACCTGCCTCTGCCTCCTGAGTGCTAGGATTAAAGGCGTGCGCCACCATGCTCAAGGAGACTTTCTTAATAGAACGCTGAAAGAACTAGGGTCTTCACTGAACTCCTCCTTCCTCTCAGGCTTAGCAGAACCACAGAAGAACCACCAGGGCTGTGTAGACAGTCAATCACATCCTTAAAACAGTCCCTGAGGCTCACAAGCCTTTCCAGACTTCAGAAGCCCTCCCTGACCCTGCTCAGAGTCAGCCTAGGCCACTCTTTCCTCTGCCTCTGGCCAAGTCTCTAGACCCATCAATGAGTTAACACTCGTCAAGTCAGCTTCAGTTTGAAATCTTGACATAATCTCAGTCCAGACAGGTACTACATTAGGGCCTTAAGTATTAAAAAGGTGTGATTGAGCCGGGCGCGGTGGCACACGCCTTTAGGCAGGTGGATCTCTGTGAGTTTGAGGCTAGCCTGATCTACATAGTGAGTTCCAGGACAGCTGGGGCTACAAGGAGACCCTGTCTCAAAAAGACCCCCCCCCAAAAAAAAACAAAAAAAAACATGATTGAGAATGGAAATTAGAAAAAGACTACATACAGGTTTCTACCAGGACCCTTTTCAGGGCTCACAGATAAATGCTGCGGGCAGCTTGTCCACTGTCTGAATCTTTTGGCTGGGATGACATGATGGTCGATGGTGAGATAAGAGCAATTAAAGTAAGAGGAATAAAAGGAGACAGGCCTGCCAGTGGGCAAATTCCCCTGGCCCTGGCCCTGCCCCTCTCCTTCTGTCTCTGTTTCCTTGGCTACCAGGAGGTGAGGTGATCTGCTCCCAACTCCCTCCCTCCCACAATGGGACTTTGAAACTGGGAGTCCAAATAAATCATCTTCCTGTGGCCCCAGCTGTCTTGAAACTTGATATGTAGAGCAAGTTGGCCTCAATCTTACAGAGATCTGCCAGATTTAGGGCTGGGACTAAAGGAGTATGCCACCACACCTAGTTCTTTTATTTGGTTTTTGTTTTTAAATATATATATATTTTTAAATCATAGCAACAAGTTAACACACACAGACTGCACTGAAATCAATTTTCTCCTCAGGAAACTGCCCCTTTGAAATATAATTTCAAAACACTCAACGGTTACATATGAATGTTCTGAGTCAAAAGACCAGCACTCTCAACTATAGAAATTACAACCCAAGTGACTGGAGAGATGGCTAAGTAACATGCTTGCTGCAAATGCAAGTGGGTTTGGTGGCAAGCCCTTGTAAACCCAGCTCTGGGGAGATGGAGACAGTGGGATCCCTGGGGCTCAGTGGCCAGCCAGCCTAGCCTATTTGGCAAGTCTTGGGGCCAATGAGAAAGACCCTGGCTCAAAACACAAGGTGGACAGCCCCTGACAAATGATACCAGAGGTTGTCTTCTGGCCTCCATGTATCATGCATGTTCATACACACATGTTCAACCACACAAACATGCACTTGTGAATATACACACATAACCCCCTGCCCTGCCCCTGAACACACACAAATTACAATGGTAATTAATTGGGAGAATAATAAAACTTTTGTATTTGGGCTTTTATTTATTTATTTACTTATTTACTTATTTGTCTTTTTTGAGATAGGGTCTCCCTATAGCCCCAGCTGGCCTGGAACTCACTATGTAGACCTGGCTGACCTTGAACTCACAGAGATCCTCCTGCCTCGGGCCTCCCAAGTGCTGGGATCAAAGGCGTGCACCACCACACCTGGCTTTTTTTTTTTTAGACAGTGTCTTGCTGTGTATCCCTAGCTAACCTGAAACTTATAATAATTTTCCTGCCTCAGTCTCCTACGTACTAGGATTTCAAGTGTGTATCACCAGGCCCAGATTCTCTGTTTTCTTTTGAGAAAAGATCTTATTTTGTTGCCGTGCTGGATAGCTTTCGTTGTCAACTTGACACAGTTGGGTAGTGGGAACTTCAATTGGCCATGTGTGGGGACATTTTCTTGATTATTAAGTGATGTGGGAAGGGCCCAACCCACAGTGGGTGGTGCCACCCCTGGGCAGGTGGTCCTGTGTTGTATAAGAAAGCAGGCTGAACACAGGCCAGGGGAGCAAGCCAGTAAGCAGCATTCCTCATGGTCTATATTTAGGCTCCTGCCTGCAGGTTCTTGCCCTGATTTGCTGCTCTGATTTCCCTCAGTGATGAACTGTGACCTGTAAGATAAAATAAAAATAGACCCTTTCCTCCCCAAGTTGGTTTTGGTCAGTGTTTTTTTTTTGTTGTTGTTTTTTTTAAAAAAAAATATATATATATATATATTATTTATTATTTTTATGTGTATGCGTATATTGCCTGTATGTAGGTAAGTGCACCCATGTGGTGCAACGCCCTCAGAGGACAGAAGAAGCTGTTGGATCCCCTGGAACTGGAATTATGGACAGTTGTTAGCTGCCATGTGGGTGCTAGGATTCAAACCTGGGTCTTCTGCAAGAACAGCCAGGGTTCTTAACCGCTGAGCCATCTCTCCCACTCCTGGTCAGTGTTTTTATCACAGGGAGGGTAACTAGAATGGTTGCCTAGGTCTTGAAATCATGAACACAAATGATCTTCCTGCCTCACCTTTCCAGGTAGCTGGGACTGTAGGTTTGTACCTTCATGCCTGCCTGAAAAATTAAACTTTGAAAGGTGCTTTGCAGTAGTGATCAGAACCTATAAATAAGAACAAACCACTGTGATTTAAGCACTAAGCATCTAAGGGCAGGGCAGGGGGGACAGTAGAAGGGACGGGAGAATCCAGTTCACAAGCAAGCAGAGCTGGGACACACATCTTACCATGGAACTAACCCTAATACCTGTCCCTCCAAACAGTCACTGAGCAGCACCCACGCCTGCAGAGGATTCCCTGGAGGCCACAGGTGCTCATGTGGCATCGTTGTTTTATTTCAATCTGATCTTTATCTCCAGTCCCCAAAGATTTCCCTATCTGGCGACATCTTCCTTGCCAAAGTCAAGTTGGGGCTCCTCCCTTTTTGTTGAGCTCAGTGTTCCAATGAACTTTCAAGTGGCAAATCAAAGCCCAGTCTTCAGGGTGTCTCCAGAAAGCTACAGAGGGCCAGAGGGGGCTGGCACTGTTGCAGGTTTGCTGGGCATTTGTCGGGGAGGGGATTACAGGATTTTACTGACAAAAAGAAGCCACAAAGGAGTCAGTCTAATGTGGACCAAGCCTTGAGGTGACCTGCATCCAGGCTTCTCTCACTGCTCTGGGCGAGGTGCTGATGTACATGGCTGCTTCTCCCCACATAATGCCCCACTGTGTGGACACGTGAGGCTCTGTACATCAGTGTACATCACATTTGCTAGTTTCTGAGAACTGAACCATCCTTTCACTACCTTTACTTCAAAACGCAACCGCCAGGCTCAAAGCCAAACAGCCAGAAGCAATCAAAGCTAAATTGTGGTGTGTTTTGGTCCAAAGCCTAGGCCCTGCTTTTTCCTCTTGGTAAATCAATCACAGAAAGGAAAAAAAAAATCTCTAAGGAGAAAACCTGTTAGCCAGCTTCTGGCTTGTTCTGTTATTTCCAACATCAAGCAAAGAAGTTCAAGAAAGTAAACAGGTTGAGACCTTAGAATCAGGCTCCAAATTTCAATTCTAGCTCTTTTACTTGATACCTGTGTGATTTGGATAACTTTCTGTGCTTGTAGAGAGGCTTAACAGTAATGAGGGTGCACAGGTAAACCAGGTAGATCTTTGTACTCAGATGGCCTAGAGCCCTTTCATCTAAGTTCTTCATAATCCTATAACTGCCTACATCTTCCTAATCACCCTGAGACACATTTTCAACCAGGGACTCCTTGATTGTCCCCCTGTAGGCTGGGATGTCTCCTGCCTTAGTCTCAAGTAGCCTTGGTAGATTCAGTCATGTGTACCATGGAGTTCAGCCTGACAAACCAGATTTTCTTCATTGCTGGTGAGGCCAGGGTTGGGGCTAAGATGAAAACACTGGAGGCCATGTTGGGAGCTGGCGGGTGTAATGTAACGTTAGCTGAAAGTTATTCAGGTGCTCAGTAAGTTGATGTCTTTGGATTTGTTGTTTACTTTGAGACTCGGTCTCAGGTAGCTCAGGCTGGTCTCTGAACCCTTGATCCTCCGCCCCTACCTATGAAGTAAGGTCATGCCTGGCTTTTGTTTTTATTTTTATTTTTATTGTTTTTGAGACAGGGTCTTGCTATAGCCCCAGCTGGCCTAGAACTCCCTATGTAGACCAGGCTGGCCTGCATCTCACAGAGACCTGCCTGCCTCTGCCTCCTGTGTGCTGGGTTTAAAGGTGTGTACCACCATGCCCGGTTATTTTTTTCTTAATTTTAAATAATTTTTAAAAATGTATGTATTTTGCATGCATGCACATGACAGAGGTTAGAGGACAACTTCCTGGAGTGGGTTTTCTTCTTCCACCTGGGTCCTGGGGATTGAACTCAGATCCTCAGGTTTGGTAGGTGCCTTTAGTCACTGAGCCATCTCACTGGCTCCTGGCTTTTGTTTTTAAGGAAAAAGAAAATATCAATAACTTGGTGTGCGGAGGGTAAGCAGTTTCATGACATTTTTGTTTCTGTGTGTGATTTGTTTTGCTTGTTTTTTGAGACAGGATCTTGCTATGTAGCCCAGACTGGTCTCTAACTCAGGATAATCATTCTGCCTCATCTCCCTCAGCTGCGATTATAGGCACGTGGCACTGTGCCTGGCTGTAAATTTGGTCTTAATATAAAATGTAGTTCTTATGATGCATCTCAGTCAATGAAGTTTAAAAGCCATTGACTGGGGCCAGAGAGACAGCTCAGCAGTTAAGAGTGCTTACTGCTCTTGCAGAGGACCTGGGTTCTATTCCCTAGCACCCATGTCTGGTGGCTCACAACTGCCAGTAACTCCAGTTCCAGGGCATCTGACACTCCCTTCTGGCCTTTGTGCTCCCTACATGCTCATGGTATATATAAACTTTGTGCTCCCTACATGCTCATGGTATATATAAACGTACACAGGCAGACACATACACATTAAAAATAATAATAAATAAATCTTTAAAAGCCTTTGACTGACTACTTGGGTGTCAAGTCTTCAAGGAGACCATCTACTGTTGTCCACTTGGTTGAGTGGTAGCCTGGCTATCTGATTGGGTGGTGTTCCCTCTGTGAACTCAACTGCCATGCCAGAGGGGCTACCATGGGCAGCTCAGAGCCAGTTCTCTCCACAGCATAGTGAGGGCACCATGTTCCCCCTCGTGGCTGAGAGCCGGAAACGTGGCTGACAGGTACTCCATGCTAGGCATGTTGGAGAAGCATGGGGAGCCTGAAGCTCTGTTCAGACCTTCCCATCTTTTTGGAAAGCAAGAACCCCATGTGAACATGGAAATGAAAACACTAGGCACCCAACAGAGAAGTCTGAAGAGCTTTTGGCTTTACCAGCTTACCCCAGCACCACCCACCCTGCATTTCTCAAGTCATTTGCAATATAAATGGTCAGATGGGCTCCCCCAAGGCTCACCTCTCCCTGTGCACAAGTATCTGCATTTGTGGCACTCCAGGAGCCCCTCAGCTTCAGACTGGTAATATTTCTCTTCCTGTGGTCCAGGCCCAGAGTATGTGGACACATGTCTCCCTGAAGCAGGTTCACTGTAAACAAAGAGCACAAAGCCATGAGGAGTGGGCCTGATATTTGATGGTTTATTTAGGATTAGGATGCTCTCTTTAGACATGGTCTCTGTATGCAGCCAGGCTTGCCTCAAACTTATGCTCCTCCTGCCTCAGTCTCCCAAGGGCTGGGGTCACAGGCACATGCCACCATGCCTACTGGTAATAGGATGCTCAACTGCAGGACATAAATCAACTTTGCCACGGGATTTTAGACTCCAGAGAATTCTCTGGTTAATGGTCCCATGGACCAATGGAACTTGTGGCCCAAGTTTGCTAAGGACCCTGGCTGGCCTGGCAATCCTGCACATCCTAGTGGATGTGGGTTTGTCTGCTGGAGGTGGGCTCTGTCTCGATAGGTGGCTCTGAGCAGCCTTCTTTGAGGTTCTCCGTTCAACATGGACTCAGCTCTTCAATGCTAGTTTTCACAAGACTCGGGCTCAGGTTACCATTCTCTTCTGTCCTTTGTTACTCTGGAAAGAGCTCAGGCATCATTAATTCTCCAGGCAAATGGAAGCTACAGACTACTTTTTTCTTTTGAGGCAGAGTCCCATGTGACCCAAGCTGGCCTTGAACTCACTATGTAACCAAGAAACCAAGAATGGCCTTGGACCCCATAACCCTCTTGCTTCTACCTCCCAAGTGCTGGGATTACAGGCATGCACCCCCACACCCATACAGGATACTTCTGAGATCTTTCAGTCACCTCTCCCTGTCTACCCTTTCTTTCTAGCATAGGCTGAACTCTGCCCAAGATTCAATGAGAGGCTAGCATTCTACTTGGTAGACTCTAGGGATTTTCTAGAACATAGAAGCCATCCTGTCTTCTCTTCGATTTGAAATCCTTAACTCGTCAGTACACAGAAGGCCCTTGCTACATCTCTGCACTCACAACACAGACTCACAGACCCAGCCACAATGAGCTGTCCTTCACTCCCCAAATGACCCAGGCATGGGGGGGTCACTTAGGGAGCTGTTCTTCTTGGAGCACCAAATTCCTCTTCCATCTCCCATCCTTTTTCCTCTCTCTCTCCAGAACTCAGCTTGAGGTCACCTGCCCTGGGAAGCCAGCTCTATTCTTTCCAAATCCCAGTTTCTCCAGCAGAGGCCCATTTCACACTGGACTGCAATTGGCTGGTTTTCCTGTCATTCTCTTGTACCAGACTGAATTCTGACAGTAAGCCACTGTAGGCCTGCCCCCTTCATTCCCTCCATCAAATGAATGCTTAGATGAGAAAAGACTAGTTAGTGCTCTTTGACTTCAAACCTCTAACCGGCCAAGAGCAAACTAAGCAGCAAGCAAAAGTATTTCCTTCATTCACATTGGGATGGAGTGAAGCTGGGTGAGGGAACTGGGGCTCTGGTTTTTCAGGAAATCAAATGCACCTCTTGTTTCCTAGTCTTGGGCTGCAGAGCAAGATGCCAGAGTCATTCATGGAAACAATAGTGCTAGAGAATGAAAGCGCAGACTGTGTTTGGGTGCAGCTTTTGTCATGCTAGTTGGTTTTAGATAATGTAACATAAACTCAGGATAGCAGTTTCTTCATTGTGTGGACACAGCCCGGAGAAACTGAGCTCTGCCTCCAAATCCCACAGAGGCCAGGTGTCAAAGCAGAACCTGGTGTCAGCTAGAGGGAAGAGACTGCACACAGTTCTGACAACCTGTCAGACCATCTTGCAGAAGAGACTGGAGCCAAGGCAATGGTGAGTGGGAGTGTACTATGACCAGGACTGTTGGGCTAAGTACATCTTGCTCTCTATTTAAACTCAGGGCTGGAGAGATGGCTCAGCGATTCAGGGCACTGACTGTTCTTTCAGAGGACCTGGGTACAATTCCTAGCACCCACATGGGGGTTAACAACCATCTGTAACTCCAGTACCAGGGTATCTGACACGTGGCACTGATGTCTGTGGCACTGCATAGACAGGTGCACCTACCTATATGCAGGCAATACAGTTGTACACATAAAATAAAAATAAAAAATAGTTTAACTTAGACTTCATGTTAAGACTCTGATGATGGCCTTTGGGGACCTCTTTGGCCCATTGAATAAACTAACTCTCTCTCTCTCTCTCTCTCTCTCTCTCTCTCACACACACACACACACACACACACACACACACAAAGCAGTTTCACCCCCAAGACCTGCCTTTCTGTTGGAGCCAGCAGGACAATAGGCCATGCATGTATTCAGTCTGCAAAGCTGGGCATGTCCATACCACATCATGCCAGCTCCCTAGGAGGGGATGTGGGGACCAGGCCAACGTGGCCCTCCCTTCCATCCCCACTCTGAGCTAACAGCAGTTTCCAGAACAGAGATGCTTTCTATTCACAGGTGCTTAGAGGAATTCTGCAAGGCTACAGCGCACAGGTGGCAAAGTTCAAGCGTTCAGGAGGGTGGGACTGAAGCGTAGGATTTGAAAGAGGCTGCCTAGAAAGACGTCACTGACAGGGGGAAAAAGCTACGAGAATTTTCGGTAGACTAGTTCCCAGGTTCAAAGCGGAGCTTCTCCAGGGTCTGCTGTTGCATACAGCCTTGGCGGGGTTCAACTCAACCTTTAACTGTTCACTGAGCTGACAGTATTGAGTCCCAGAAGCCAGAGAGGTGTGGAGGTCTAACATGGGACCACCACTCAAGGGCGGGGGAAACCTAACTTAGTCACGTGACCACTTGGGTAGTGCTTCGAGCTAGCCCCACCCACCTAACCTTCCCTCGCTTTCTGGTTTCAGTCTAGGGGAGCTCCTTCTTCCCCTGATCCCGCGGCCCTGCCATTTTCTGCTATGGTCTTGGGGTCAAGCCCCAGGGTGGGGTCAAGCCCCAGGGTGCAGGTAGCCGGGGGTGCAGGTAGCTTGGGGTGCAGGCTGGCCGCGGCGCGGTCCGGGTCCCCGGCAGGTGCACCCCTCACCTCTCCAGCGTGCGGTGCCCGAAGCCCGGCTTCCTCCGAGGCTCTGGGGTTCCCCAGGGCGCGGGCCCGGGCGGCGGGGCTGCGTCCCAGCTCGGTGCCCAGGGTTCGGGCGGCGCGCGGCTTTGGCGGGACTCTTCCCAGGCTCTTTGTTCGGCTGCACGATGATGGCTGGTGTCCCGGGGTCTGTCCTGGCGGGGGTCTCGGTCCATCCTCCTGTCCCGGTCCCCTCGGCGGTTCCCGTCCCCTCGGCGGTCCCCATCCCTCCGCACTTCCCCGTTCCTCTCCCGGCGCTGGTTCCCGGCTCGGTCCCGGGTTCGGTCCCAGGCTTCGTCCCCCGTTCGGTCCCGCGGTCGCTCCACGTGGCGGTCTCGGTCCGGGCGGGGGCGCCGGTGCTGGTCTCTCTCTCTCGGTCGGGCCCGGGGTTCGCGAGTCCCCGTCTTATTTTCCATGGCCGGTTCCGTGTCTCCGCCCGGGAGCGACCAGAGGGCAACAGCCAACCACAAGTGTCCGGGCAGGTGGCCAAGTTTAGAGGCGGGGCCGCGGGCGCTCACCTGTGCGCACGCGCACTCCCTGGGCAGCGGTCTGGAGAGCTTGCACCTTGCCCCTGACCCGCAAGGGGCGCGGTGGATCCCGGGGTGGTGGTGATGGGGTCTTGCTGAGTGAGTTGTCAGTCTTTGGTGTTGTGTGGTTAACAAACATAGGTAGACCAGACAGCAGTTGAGGGGATGTGAAGTTAACTTAGCCTTCAAACCTTCAAACCCTACTCAGAAATAGCAGGAAGCCAGAGCCAATGTGGATTTATTTACTTACTTTTGTGTCCTGGGATTTTAAAAACATATTTATTATTTTTATTCATTTTATGTGTATGAGTGTATTGCCTTCATGTATGTAAGTACCTGTGTCGTGCAATGCCAGTGGAGGTCAGAAGAGGGCAGCTAGCAACCATCCTTAACTCCAGTTCCAGGGGAGCCCCTGCCGTGTGGGTGCTGGGAATTGAACCTGGGTCTTCTGCAAGAACAGTCAGTGCTCTTAACCTCTGAGCCATCTCTCCAGTCCCCTGTGTACTGAGATTTAAACCCAGGGCTTTTGCACTTTAAGTAAGTGTGTTGCCACTGAGTGACATCCCAGTATCAAACCAAGATCTTTAAACCCATCAAGACAGAGAGCAATGATGCACCATGGTTTAAAGAACAAAGTTAACCCCAGGGTGAACTTACTCTTATTTTGCTAAATGGATATAGTATCAAACTGCTCTCTAAATTGGTATCTCTCTACCCATAGATTAGTAACAGCTCTCAGACCTAATTAGAGACGTTTCTGTGGATGGAGATTAATGCAGAAAGACACAGCTTTTCAAAGTGCAGAGAATTGTGTGGAGTACTCAGTCCCAAATGGGACATCCATATCATAATCCTCCCTCTCCAAGGCTCAGGGACCATCACTTGCAGAGGTGGAGCAGGGAAAGATTGTAAGAGCCAGAGGTAGGGGAGGACAGGAGTGAAAATGTCTTCTGGACATGACAGGAATGCTGTGCTCAAGAAACCACAGCAGCTGTGGTCACTTGCACAAGACCTGCACAAGATCAAGCCAGTCAACATTCCAGCATGGAGTGGGAAGGGTTTCATAGCCCCCATCCCTACCTGAGGAACTATGGATAGGTGATGGCTTCTGGGGGAGGGAGAGTCAGTTTCTTTATGGGCATGGTTCCTGGTAAGTCGACCACCTTCTGGTGGATGGCCATGCACTCAGAAGTATACAGACAGCACAAATTAGTTACTGGAGAGAGAGAGAGACAGAGAGAGAGAGAGACAGAGAGAGAGAGAGAGAGAGAGAGAGAGAGAGAAAATGTGAAGTGGTTGTAGGGGGTAGGGAGGGCAAGATGGCTCTGAAAAGAGTTAAGAGGAGGAGTTGGTAGTGAATATAATCAAAATACAGTATTTGAACTTCCCAAAGAATCAAGTTTTTTAAAGAAGAACAAAGTTAGGAACTTGCCCAGATGACAAGGGGCACATTGCAGGTAGTGAGGGGCAAGGGCATGACTTGAAAACAAACAAACAAACAAACAGTAGAATGCCCTGTAGTGCCCTTGGTCTTACAGCATTCCGAAACTCATACCTGGGCCTGAAACCTAAGATACTAATGGACTAAGTGTCTTGTGAAGATCCTTGATGGAGATCATAGGTGCAGCTAAGACTCCCCTTCTGTATACTATGGCAGTATGAAGACCTGGTCCCTGTTACCCTATAGATGCTGTGTACCTTTTCATTTGTTTATTCAGCAAGTCCTTCCATCCCTGTGACTAAGCATAAGAGTAATGAACTTGGGGCTGGAGAGATGACTTAGCAGTTAAGCATGCTTGCTACTCCTCCAGAGGATCACAGTTTGGTTCCCAGCATCCATGCTGGGTAGTTCACAACTTCCTGTACTCCAGCTCCAGGAGATCTTATGCTGTCTTTTACCTTTCTTGGGTACCTACACACAGATGTCCTACATTCACATAGACACAAATACAAGTCAAAATAAACCTGAAAATAAAAGAGTAATGAGGCTTGTTTCATGCCACTGGACCTTGGTTTGATTCTTCTGTTAGAGAGCTTGACCATGGGAGGATTGTTGGTAACGTCACTGCCCTAAACTTGGGGTGGGAAGTTTTCCCTCAGTAAAGACAACAATGTCTATTTCCTGTGGTTCAACATACACAGCACCTTGGGTTGGCTTCCCTATAGTGTACCCACCCACTCACTTACCCATCCTTCTGCTCAGCTACACATCCATCCAGCTGCCCATTCACACATCCCCTCCACTTTCCTCTCCATCCTCTGTCCCTCTCTCCTTTCTTACCAAAGCTGTCTGGATGAGGACTTGAGGCCAATCCAACTATTACAATAGTCTCATACTTACAAAACATTTTTTAAAATGAAGAACCACACAGAATTGCCAGCTTTTTATTTTGCTAAGTAAGGATGTTTTAAGATATAGAAAAGTGGTCTACGTTAATGCTTTCAGCAAATGCATAGGAACTCTTGAGTCAGCAGATGATGGTGGTACAGTAGCATGGTCTATTTGTTTAGAGCTGATGTGCTAGTGTATGCAGAAACGCGACAAGAAAAACACAGAAACCTTAATGGGAGGGCAGGGTTCTCTATGCAGACAGAGAAAGCAGTGATTTAATGAGTTATTTTTAAATGGCGTTTTTTCAAGGTAATGGAGCTCTGAGGACATGCCTGCTGGGAGGCCCACTCTGTTGGACTGATCCCCCACCCCTAGGGATGTGAGTCTGGTGACTTCTGTGTCACCAGCCCCCACCATAGTACTTGGCAGTCAGCACTTGCTCCAACTGGGCCAAGGGAGATGCCTCTAGGGCAGGTCTAAAGAAGGCAATTCCTAGGTCGTGGCAGGAGGCAGTGTCCTTTGTGGGCCTTACATACAGGACTGTCTTGGCATTTCATTTCCCATGGCAGCTGGAAGTACAGTCCTCTGCGCTCCTGTCCATGGAGAATGGATGCTGGGAGCAGTCAGATACCCAGGACATATGTAAAGCTGGTTACAGTAGCTGGAGTCTGTAATCTAAAAGTTCCTACAATAATGAGAGGCAGAGATAGGGCATACCCAGAAGCTAGCCTGGTGTACTCAGTGGTGAACAGTGATCTTGTCTCAAAAAAGTTGGAAGGTTAAGAACCCACATCCAAGTTGTTCCCTGACTTAAGTGTGTTGTGCATGCACTCACACGTGAACACACACACACACACACACAGAACGAGAGAGGGAGAGAGAGAGAGAGAGAGAGAGAGAGAGAGAGAGAGAGAGATTGAGAGACCCAGGTTCAATTCCCAGCACCCACATTACTCCAGTTCCAAGGGATCCAACACCCTATTGTAGCCTCCTTAGGCACTGCACGCATGTGGTGCACTTACATACATGCAGGCAAAACCATCATACATATAAAAAAATAAAAAGACCAAAAAATAATCTAAAACCCAAAGTGTCAACCAAATGGGATACAATGAGACTGGAAGATGTTCATCATCCTGGATCAAATGCCCCTGGAGCTGTAAGACCATGAAATCAGTCACATACTCCTGAAATACTATGATGCGACAGGCACAGGACAGACCTTCCCATTGCAAAGTGAGAAGTGAAAAGAGGAAGCAACAGGTGAGGACCACATCCCAAGCTCAGCACAGCCCCATTCAGGTAGCTCGGCCCAAACGCGAGCTTCTCAGGCAGGCTTTCTGACTACTGTCTCTCTTCTCTCTACTCGTTTGTTTTCCTTTTCTTGTCAGAACTTAGTAGAGTAAGTTACATCCTTGTGTTTTATAACTGGGTCTCTTGTTTGGCTGTACTTTTCAGGGCAGGCTCCAACAGGATGTGGACTTAACTCTCTTCCTTGCTACATTCCCAGTGCCTAAAACACAGATGTTTCCTATGGCACTTTTTCAACAAATGAATGACACTGCTGGGTGGATGGGAGGAAGCTACATAGATGTACCAGCTCTGACTCCCCTCTGCTGAGGGGGCCTCACTCTCTTAAACATCCCCAGGAATTTGCTTGGGATGTCTTGGAACTTTGCTTTCTGCCTTCTCGCTTTCTTTCATTCCTACCATCACTGTTATCTCTACCACCTCCAGCCCGCTGAGGTCAGGGTCTGAGTCATTTGTGGATGGTCCACCAATGTGCACTCAATCAGGATTTGTTGGGTGGCCATGATGATGGATCACTACAGCCTTGTGCCTTTCTTAGTAGGGCTTTGTTGAGCAGGTAGGGTCTGAGAGTTCTTTGTGGGAGGCTGGGAGATTTTCAAAATTGGAGGAAAATTTGTGTGTGTGTGTGTGTGTGTGTGTGTGTGTGTGTGTGTGCGCGCGCGCGCAAGCTCATGTTGTATGTATGTGTGCTTGTGTGTGGAGGCTGGACAGAGGTCAGATAGCACTCCACATTATTTGTTGAGGCAGCATCTCTCACTCAACCTGAACCTCAATGATTTGGCTAGGCTGGCCAGTCAGTGAGCTTTAGGGATCTGTTTCTGTCCCCCTTCCCTCTCGCAACCCAGGGTCATGAGTACAAGCTACCATGCTTGGCTCTTATGTGGTTGCAGGGGATCTGAACTCAGGTCTTCATGCTTATGTGGCAAGCACTTTACTGACTGAGCCAACTCCTTGGCCCTTGAAAAGTCTTTTATTTATTTACTTAAAAATTGTTTTAGAGGGAGCTAGAGAGATGGCTCAGTGCTTAAGAGCACTGGCTGCTCTTGCAGAAGAACTGGGTTTGAAGCCCAGCACCCACATGGCAGCTAACAACCATCCATAACTCCAGTTCCAGGGGATCCAGCGCCCTCTTCTGACCTCCACAGGTGTTGCATGACATGGGTGCACTTACATACATGCAGGCAATACACTCATATACATAGAATAAAGAATAAATAAATAGAAAACATTGTTTTAGAGACAGGGT